TTTATACTCAATTTTTTGTTGTTGGGGCTATTACTGGTGGTACTCGGGGTTCACTCCCAGTGGGCTCAGGGGACCATATGTCATGCCAGGGATTGAACCTCACCGAATGCAAGGCAAGTTCTCTACCCGCTATACTATAGATTTGTAACCGTAATACTTTAAAATACATTTTAGCATTGATTGATAAATTATCTAAGTTTCATGCATACAGCAGTATAAGTCCATATCTGTAAACACTACATGATAATCACTACCAAAAGTCTATGGTAGAGGGGGGTCAAATGTTTGGCTATGGAGCAATCAGACCTTCTTAGATGTCATCAGAGAACCTAACTGATATACAACTAAATTATATTCTTAAAAGCAAAGCAATGGAGCTGGCAAAAGAAAGCAAAAGTAACTTGCTGGCCTTTTACCAGTATGTTGGTTAGTGGGGAGTGGGTATTGGGGAGCGTGAGGAAAGGGAATAGAGTTTCTTTTGATTGCATGAGGTACTGGGATGAGTATTGGGAAAGTACACACATATATCAAGGTGCAAATCTGTATGCTCAGTATTTCATAATATTGTGAGCCAATAACAAATTGACAAAATCTGAATGAAAATAAATTACATTTGAGAACTTCATGATTTAAAAATCTTAGTCGTGCTAGAATTTATCCACATTTCTCAATACCACCTCTCTAACTCAGTTACTGCTTTAATTTTAGGCAGATGGAACCACAATCCCTCTGACATATGACATCTTTTTCTACCTCAGAGACATAATTTGTTCCCTCAGATGGTATTGTCCTTCCCATTTCATCAGTCTGGTTAATTGCAATTTTTCTTCAATGTTCTATTTAAGTTTGATTATCAAAATGATCATAGGCAGCCAATTCCTCACATATTTTCCCATAATTGGATTATTAAAGTGTCCTTTCTCAGAATAAAATCCTGACAATATCACCCAAAGCATCCCTAGGGATATAGAAAACCATGGAGACTAAGGTTACAAACTATGCAACCCAATGGCTTGGGTTCAGACTCCATTGCTGTCTCTTGGCTATTCAAACTTGAACAGGTCCTTCAGCTTCACTGTGCATTAGAATTACCTCATAGCATTGTTAGCATTAGATAAGCAACATGAACACAACAGTAATGGACATATAATATTAGGAAAGTGTTCACTGTTCTACAATTTAGTTCCTTCATGTTATATAACTGATATCCCTTTTGATTTTTTTTAATTTGGGAATTCATATCTTGTATTAGAATGGATTTCCTTTGTAATTTAAAATAGCTCAGAAAAAGGCCATTAAAATATGATATTAATAAATAGGCAAACATAGTGTTCTACAGTTCTCAAATCTCTTTTGGAGTATTGTCTCATTTCCAATACTATGTACAGCATGGTATATTTGGAACTTAGAAAAATCATTTATTTTTCTGATATTATAACAAATACCTCTCCAAATTTTCATCTCTTTGTATGCCCCCTTTCTTAAACACACAAACATATGTGCATGTACACTCACACAGAGGTTTGTTTAAATGATTGTTAAAAGACTTTATACCTATAGGTTAGTGACAAACTATAAAAGGCAAGAAATAATAATGTGCTTATGAAGTTTTAGTTTTTGCATTGGGAGCCACATGCAGCAGTGCTCAGGGGACCAGGAGTTTTCAGGGATTGAATCCAATGCCCCCCTCCCCCCACACACACAAAGCACGTGCTCCATACTAGCCACTTCCCTAGTTCCTGTAAATTATTAAATACAAAAGGAATCAGCATCTTAGACGGCTCAGCTATCCTCACACCTGCCTCTCAGAGGGCCCGGCAAGCTACTGAGAGTATCTCGCCTACACAGCAGAGCCTGGCAAGCTTCCCATTACGTATTCGATATGCCAAACACAGTAACAACAAGTCTCACAATGGAGACGTTACTGGACCTGCTCGAGCAATTAAAAGGAAGCAACAAGGAAAATATCCCTACTATTGAGTAAGAGCAAATGAATAAATGAATATGCTCTATGTATAAATCCTATTTTCCTATGACTGCAGGCATGGTACCTGAACTTCTCCTCTAATTTTACTTTGAAAATTCAAGAGCTATCACTTTGAAGAAATACCAAAGTGGTAGTCTCTTCAGAAACAATTCCTTGTATTTGGAGAGCTCTGGAGACTGTCAAGTAGGTGGATGCTTTCCAGAAGACAAAGCTCACAACCCCTGTACAAAGAAAGAGTAAACTATTTTCCCACTTAAGAATCTATGAACTGCTATAGAGGCATTCGTTTCAGTGGCTGAACAGGTGCAGATGTGGAAATAAAATTATTTTCAAAAAGAATCGTTATATGACAGTTTACGTGGCAAATTGACTTGGAGTGCACTCTAGAAATTATTTTTTTGAATTGGGGATCACACCAGGGTTTACTCTCAGGGTTTGTTCTTGGCTATGTGCTCAGGGATCAATACAGGTGGACAAGAAGGGGGGAGCATATTGGGAGCTTGGATGGAACCCAGGTTGGTTGCATGCAAGGTGAGTGCTCTACCCAATGTATTATTGATCCAAACAAGGAAGTTATTTTTTCAAAACATTTTCTTTTCTTTCAATTTTCATCTTCTCTACCCATTATTATTATTGTTGCAATGATTTGGGGTTCCATATACTTGGTGGTTACCTTTACACTGTTAACATTGTCGTGCTTGCTAGCGGTTACATACTTGATTCACATGCTGCTATGCTTGTGGAAGTTCTCTTTTCCTGTGGAGTTCTCTCACACTTGGTTGCACTGTGATGGAAACCAACAATTTATTGTGTCTGGGGAGAAGGTCACAAGTGGAAGTGTCACTGCCATACCTAGCGTAGTACTAGGTATAGGAAGTGTTGCTAGGGATTGTATTATAACCTCAAGTCCACAAATTATATGTTCTAGCACCGAGCACTTCTTGAGGCCCTAATTACTAATTTTAATGGAATATCTGCAATAAGCAAGGTAGAAAGCATTTTATAAAGATGACCTGGTTAAATTTTCACAACTTATTAGGCAAATCATATATTACTGATAATGCACATGTAGATACCAGTGTTATAGGGATATTAAACAATTTATAGAAGTTAACACAGTTGAGTAGAGGAGCTAAGTATAAGCCAGACAATATATCTCTAAAGCCTTTAATTTAAATGTGGCAACAAACTGTCTCTTCTGGTTGTAAATAGTCCCTGAAGCATTGGTATGAACGTGACAAAGAATGACCTCTTGTTTCTGTATGCACCAGCACATTGCAATTAGGAAAGTGTTTAGCAACATGTCTAACATACACAAAACATATATAAATACATCAAAATCACTAAATTGTAGTCATGCTTAGAGCAAGTACTGGCAGGCAGTATTACTACTAAATAAGGGGACACAGGAACCAAACATTTGGATTTGAAATTTTGTTCTGATCCTCACTAAGAGTACACATTGCTAAGCCTCCAAAGATTTTTCAGATAAAAAAATTATGTGGTTACTAATACTTAAGTAGTTTTAAAGCAGTTATAATGATATACATATATACATTTTTTCATACCACTGTATACACTATATCCCTCACTAGATGATGAATGTGATTCTGTTTTCCTGGTACTCAAAAGTGAAAACTCAAAATCCAGAGAAAATTATGACCACAAATATTTCCTGTGTAAAATATTAAGACACTGCAGTAAGGAATTCTAAATCTATATTCAAGATACTTCAAATGAAGGTTATTTACCTTCAAATGAAGGTTTTTTAATTTCAAATGAAGCATGTGATTGATATTCCATGTCAACCCAAGTTCACTTTGTTTTATTTGCTTTTTGGGCCACACTTGATGGTACTCAGGACTTATTCCTGGGTCAGCACTCAGGAATCATCCCTGGTGGTATGAAGCAGACCCTATGGGATGCCTGGGACCAAACCTGGGCTGGCTGCAATGCAAGCACCTTACCCAGTGTACTATCACTCCTGCTCCTGAAGATCACTTTTAAAAACATCTCTCACTTTCAAACTATTTTAAACAACTAAATACCTTTAGCTCTATGTACAGCTATTTTAGAAAAGACTTGAAAAGTAATTTAGAGTGAAATAATTTTAGTATTTACATATTTGAAAACTTTAGAAAGTTTTCTACTTTTAAAAGTATATACAATTTATTTATTTTGTGGGGGGGGGCACACATGGTAATGCTCAGGGGTTACTCCTGGCTCTGCACTCAGGAATTACTCCTGGAAGTGCTCAGGAAACCATATGGCATGCCAGGCACTGAACTCAGGTTAGATGAATGTAAGGCAAATGTCCTACCCTGCTGTACTATCTCTCTGACACCAAAAGTTTTCTATCTTTATTATTCATTCAATATTCAAAAGTTTTACAGTAGACTTGTAGCTCAGTACGGCCCTTTTAAATTGATGGATTTTTATGTTTCTGATGGTTGATGACATACTTCGCAGAATGGATTCCAATCTTTATGCTAAATGTTTGCTATTGACATTACATAAATAGTGTTATTAAGGTCCAAGGTTTTTTAAAATATTATGTTTTGTTACTTTTTAATTTACAGCTAACTTTCAATTATGCTTATCACTGGGGGAGGAAATTTGGCATGGAAAACTGAGAAGAGTAGATGTAAAACCAATTCACAGATTATTATATCTGATCCTGTGGTAAATTGCGGTGCATAGTATCTAAGCAAAGTCTAAATGTAAACAACTCAGTGAAGCTACTGATTTCATCTGAGGTTTTTTAAATTTATCTAGTGGCTGTAATTAGTCAATTAAACTTGCCAGGTTTTTAATTTTGTTTCCTTATATTACTCCTCTTTAGGTTTTGACATTTTTCAATATCTACATTAATTTGTTTCCTTGATAAAACTTACTAGGAAGTGTAGTACTCACTGAGAGAGAAATGCTTCCTTGAAATGGATGGAAAATGGGTCTAGAAGAATGAAGTGATGTGTAGAAAATCACTGTACGGAAACTCATCCCCCCTTCTTACCTCCTGTTTACCGATGGTCTCATTGATGTCTTCAACATCACCAACCATCACTTTGTGTGATTTTAAAACTCGTTCCAGCAGAGACAGCCAGTCGGTGAGTTCTGCCCAAACCCGGTTGAAATCTGCCAAAGCAGGTACCTCCAACATCAAGGAAGATGGCATTTCTAGTTTGGAGATGGCAGTTTCTTTGGTAACCACAGGCTGTGTCACCAGAGTAACAGTCTGTCTCGGAGCTAAACATTTTTTTGGAAAAGGAGAAAAAAGAAAAATTAGAAACAGAAGCCTAAGCCTCTTCCAATTTCAATAACCATAATTCAACTTAACAAGAAGGGCAATGATTTGAGCCAAAGTTTTCTTTTTATTGCTTTTTTTCCTGACAACTCAGATACTTTGTAGAGTAAAACATAACAGGAAAATTCAAAGACTCAAACCTTTCGATAATCAATAGTGAACAATTTTTAAAGTGATTTTTCCTATTTTCTTTTTTTGATATTTTAAATAGTTATACTCGACGATCAACGGGAGGGCCTTTACCTTAAATAGTTATACACAGTAATATTTGTACATTGTGGAATTGGTAAATTAAAAAATGGGAAAAGTTTATCATATTTCCCCTATTCTTTCAGACTATTTAATAAAATTGTCAGTAGTGGAGTAAACCCATGTTACATTATTTTTTAAAAATCAAGCATTTTATTAAATAGTCTGAAAGAGGAAAATATGACAAACTTTTCCCAATTTAAAATACAGAGTAAATTCAAGAATTTTTCATTGGTTTGATTTCCCTCAGGCCCACCTCCAAAGTTGTTTACTTCCTATTCAAATAAATCATAAGTCAGAAATAAGATCTTTTCTAATCTTTTGCTCCTTCACTTTTGAGTAAAATAAGTAACACCTGGTAAAGCCTAATTTAATTTTTTAATTTACCACAGCAGGTAGGGTGTTTGCCTTACACGTGGCCAACCTGGCCAAACTGATTCCTCATCCCCTCTCAGAGAGCCCGGCAAGCTACTGAGAGTATCTCGCCCGCACAGCAAAGCCTGGCAAGCTACCCGTGACATATTCGATATGCCAGACACAGTAATAACAAGTCTCACCATGGAGACATTACTGGGCCCGCTCGAGCAAATCGATTAACAATGGGAGGACAGCGCTACTAATTTACCAATATATTCCTTTATAAACACTGTTACACGAACATTAAGAAACTATCAATGGATATGTATAGAGTTGAACTGCTTACTAAAGAAAGCCTATGGTAATGATATTAGGATATAAAGTTGTAGAGTAAAAGTAGTTGGGAGAGAATCATCCTCTCTGCCTCAAGACCTTTATGATCTTGGTTAAATCACTTATCCTCTCATCAAGTTTTGTCTTTCTCCACAGCAAAGAGAAGCTAATAATAACTACTGTAGGGCAGTTGTTTAGATGTAATGATTAATACAGGAAAAGTGTTCTGCTCAATGTCAAAAATAACACTATTAGGAAACTAGCAGAAAACTCACAATGGTAGGCATGACTATTTGATAAAAGCCTATTAAATAAATAATAAAAAATAATAAAAATAAATAAATGAATAAATTGAATAATTAAAATAACTAAACAAATAAATAAGAAACAGCAATGGACAAATAATTCCCAACTATAGAAGGGAAAAATATAATCAAAGGACTCTATAAGGCTCTATATTTACTGGATGGTACTAAACTTCCTTGTGTGGACTTTTTTTTTTTTTTTTGCTTTTTGGGTCACACCTGGCAACGTACAGGTGTTACTCCTGGCTCTTAACTCAGGAATTACTCCTGGCAGTGCTCAAGGGACCATATGGGATGCTGGGAATCAAACCTGTGTTGGCTGCTTGCAAGACAAACGCCCTACCCACTGTGCTATCGCTCCAGCCCCTTGTGTGGACTTTTAATAAATGCCAAAAATTAACTTGATTATTCAAGCCGAGAAAGGCAAAATTCATAACCTTGTACATGGGCAATGGATTCTGGATCCTAGTATATCAAGGTGAACACTTGTAAAGAAATATTGGGTTTCATGGGCCAAGAGGGAAGCATTAAAAATAAGCTGCAGAAGACAGCATCTCCATGAATACTTGAGAGCCATGGAAAACAAGACAATTTTTCTAGGAACATAAGAAAAATGTGCCATGCTGGGTATTCTGTTCTGAAGTAGCCATAAATTTCTTTACTATGTTATATCATTTTCTGTATTTTCTATGTCAAAAACCCAATATGAATAAGTTTATAAATCAAGGTGCTTTAAGAAAATTAAATTTGGAAAAAATTAAAAACTAAAAAGCTAAAAAGAGAAAATTAAACAAAAATTCTGTCTTTTTATAGGCAAAGTTGATAAGAGGGATGGATAAATGCCTCTTGTTTTCTCTATATTTCCAAGAGGCAAAAAAAAAAAGTTCCTGCAACTGAAAGTGATCATCTTATACAAAACAGAAATGAGCTGAAATGATGTGCATGAGAAATTATTATTAATAGCATTGTAAACCATAGAATCTCAATTAAAATTTCTTTTAAAAATCGAAATGAAAAACATTGAAATGTTATCACTGTCACTGTCCTCCTGTTGTTCATCGATTTGCTCGAGCAGGCCCAGTAACGTCTCCATCGTGAGACTTGTTGTTACTGTGTTTGGCATATTGAATACATCACGGGTAGCTTGCCAGGCTTTGCCTTGCAGGCGAGATACTCTCGTTAGCTTGCCAGGCTCTCCGAGAGGGGCGGATAAATCGAACTCGGGTCAGCCATGTTGGCTGCATGCAAGAAAACGCCCTACCGCTGTGCTATCGCTCCAGCCCTGGTCCGAGTGCAGTGGTGTTTACAATTAATTGATCACAACCAGTTACAGATTGAAATGTTAGAATTTTAAAAATGCTAAGAAGTAGCAAAGGAAAGACAATAACTGAGGGGATTTAAAAACAGATTTAAAAAAAATATTAGTGAAACACCATGGGGTACAGTTGTAGACTTACAATTTTTGTGCTTGGGTTTCGGTTATACAACGATCAAGTACCCATCCCACCACCAGTGCCCATTCTCCACCACCACTAATCCCAATATCCCTCCCACTCCCCATCCCTCCATCCCACCCTGCCTCTATGGCAGGGCACTCCCTTTTGAAAAACAGAAGTTTTTTGGTTACACTATCTCACTACTCAGACTATCTTTCTAGAGGGAATACAATCTGAAAGAAACAGCACAGTCTGTGTTCCAACAGTTCAAAAGGAGAAAGCATAATAGCCATCAAGTTCTATAAATATTAAGAGGGATTCATATGAGTAGTTGAATTCCAGCAAAGGATTTAAGGAGCCAAAAAACCTACATTAAAATATTAATCTAGGATCCAGGGTAATAGTAGGGTATTTGCCTTGCATGCAGCTCACCTGAGTTTGGTCTCTGTCATCCCATATGGTGTCTCAAGCCTGCCAGGAGTGATCCCAGAGTACTACTTGGTGTGCACTCCTCCACCACAAACTAAAATATCAATCTAAAACTTAGCTGCATAAAGCCTAACTGGTGAGAAATTGTGGATCAATTCCAATTGTTCTTAAAATGGATAAAAAGATATGAGGCAATATACAATAGTTTATAAGAAGTAAATGACTTTTGAGAATTTTCAGATAATGCTTTCTTTTAAAACTTTGACTTACTGAAAATTTGGCCCTCTAAAGACAGCATTAATAGATATTTTTCCTCTAAATTTACTTTTGCCCAACAAGCAAATGATTAATGAAGTAGAAATGATCATGTCACCATAAATTTCAGAGCAGTGCAGAATAAGCATGCAGAAAATTATCTGAATTTAATGGAAAGATCAATATTTTCTGAATTCACATTTTCAAAAAGGTCCAATCAAAAGTAATTTCAGGACCAGACAATTGAGAACAAAGAATTGTTCAAAATGATTAAAAGTACTCAAATTGTTTTTTTTTGAAAGAACAATAAATGGCATTAGGATGACCAAATCACAGAATTCTCCAGTGAGGAAAAAAGAAGAGGTAACACCAAAAGCAATCAGTTAAAATAGTTAAACGGTAGGAAGTATAAGTAATATGTCTGTCTCTATCATACATGAACAGATGAGCTAACTGTGCTTATGGGCCAGTTAGGTGATTCACCATTGATCTTCTGTGCCTTCCATCATTCACCATTCAAAACCATTTCTATATGGGTGGGAGATTACAGATCACTTCAGAAAGGGGTTATACCATGCTCACTAAACTGAAATTTCCCAAGTGTTGGTTTTCACCTGCATAATGGGAGAAATAACAGTTCCAAAGATGTTTTAAAGTAAAGTTTGTAAAAGTTGCTTCCTATTATTCTGACAATTATTAGGTACGCCACTGTTTTTGTCCTACTATAATTCCTGCTGCTCTGACACTGTTTAATGACTATTCACTTTGTAAGTTCATTTAAGATTCTTAGCTGCGTTCTTTAATGCAGATTTCACACTCCAGCCTCATCCTCTTCCATTCTTCCCATGGTCCCACAATCTCAGTCTCTATCCAGAACTCTCCATGTAGCACAGGCCACTTTACACGTCTGTCCTTCCATATGCTCTATAAATTTATTCAGAATTATTTTTCCCTTCTTTCCCAGACAACTGTCTTTTATTACTGTGTTTTGGGAGGACCAGAATAACTTCATAGCTAAAAAGTCTCCATGATGCAAACAATTGCACTGCTGTTTTTGGCTCTTGAACACTGTGAATTCCTGAACATCTTTACAACCGAAATCTGGCCATCATTCAGAAGAACAATCTCTTGTACCATTGCTTTTGTTTGTTTGTGTTTTGTGGCTAGAGGCTAGCTATAGTAATAGAGAGTTAGTCTAAAATCAGAAACTGGGTCTCTGAGAAAAGAAAAGAAAGCTAAACAAATTAGAAAGAGGCTAATCTCCATCTACTTCCCACAGTTTTACTAGGGTCAATTCTATCTAGAATATTTTCAGTGTATTTTTTTCCTTAAAATTGCAACACAGTTCATGGATGCATGTACTATTTTCTTTTTTTATTAAGCACAATGGGCTGGAGCAATAGCACAGCGAGTAGGTCATTTGCCTTGCAAATGGCTGATTCGGGTTTGATTCCTTCATCCCTCTCGGAGAGCCTGGCAAGCTACAGAGAGTATACCCCCTGCACAGCAGAGCCTGGCAATCTCCCAGTGGTGTATTCAATATGCCACAAACAGTAATAACAAGTCTCACAATGGAGA